AAAAAAATGGTATTAAAATACTGAAGATATAAACTCGAAATACTTTTTCTTGCATATTTGCAGACAGCTTTTTAAGTAATTTTCAAAAACTCCAGCAATTTTTTTATTACATAAAACTCTTATTTAAAATTTAAAATTAAAATTAAATTCATTTTTAAGGAATTTTAAAAAAATCTAGCAATTTGTTTCTTACATAAATTCCTTAAAAAATATTTAAAATTTATGTAGTAAATCCCTTTTCTGCTCTTCCTTTTCTACTTTTCTTAGTCAGCACATCCACCTGTCGCAAACTGGCTCACCACTCCCACATACCCAGTATTTTCCTAGGGTATTGCAGAGCTGAAATGTCATTCATAAATCATACGCAACGATGTTGCCGCATTGGACTACGTTGCCATTTGCTCTACGCTTCTTGGCGTTCTTTAACCATTTCTTTTTCTTTTTTTCTTTTTTTTTTTTGGTTCTGCTTGCCATTTTTTCCTGCGATTTTTTTTCTTTTTCCCCCATACCTTTTTGTTTTTTGCATTTTGGTTCTTAGGCAGTGTGTGTGCGAGTGTGTGTGTGTGCTGGTGCTGCTCTTTAAATCGATTCGCAAGCAAATTAAAACATTTCAAGATTTATACGCACAACTGTCAAAAAATGTTCAAGTTCGTTTATCAGCGTGTCCTTATCGGCCCTCCTCGCCCCTACCCAGGGGTCCCCTACCCATCCTCTATCTCCTTCACCTCCCTGGTTCATCGGTGTGCTGTGCTCCTTTTCCTTAAATTTGCATTTTGCATTCGAAAGGCAACTTCCGGCATTCGTTTGGCTTGCCTTGCCTTGCCTGGCCTGGCCTGGCCTCACTTGAAACACACAAATGGCCAGTGCCAGTCAAAAAACAGTGAAACATGGTTATAATGGACATGTTCTTATAGTTTTGCATTGGTTTTAGATATTTTTCATTATAAAATAGACATTTTAGTCACATTTTAAGGCTTAATTTGGGTAATAAAAGTTTTTTAAGTCTTAAAAATCACCAAAAAATCGAAATATATCTCAATCTCTATCTCTATATAGACAGAGAGCACCCTGTACTTAGCATGCATGCATACACCCCAGATAGATATTTCATAGTTTTTGGGTTTGGCTTTTGTGAAACGCTAAGCCGCGGGTATATTCTGATTCTGTGTGTCTGCGTGCGTACTTCGTATCTGTGTAAAAGTATCTCTATTCACAGTATCTGTGTGAGTATCTCAATGTGCGTGCGTGTGTGTGTGTGTGTGTGTGTGTGCGTGCCATTTGAAACTTTCAAGCGCCGCATCCTCGGGCACACAATCCTTGCAATCGCGCACGAAAAATTGACTAACTTTTATCATTTTCATGGCAGAAAGTTAAAAATTTGAAAAACGAAAATATTTTTCCACGAGAACATCGAGCGAAAAACTCGAAATGAAATCATAATTTCAATTCAAACTTCGAAATGCAAGTTCGAAATGGTGAATTTAATAAGTAAACAGGAATACCATACCATTGAATAGTTCTAAAAAAAAAATTAAGAAAGCTACTGATTTATATCAGTTTTAGTTGGGAAAAAATTAGATATAAATAGGAAATGGTAAAAACTTGGTTAGAAATTTACTAATTTTAGCATAATATTTAAGGGAGATTTATATCTTTCCTTAAAACAAACTTTATCTATAAACTCCTTAAGGATTTAATGGTTTTAAAAATCAAAATTACACGAGAAAAGGAATAGCCTACCAGAAATTTGAATTATTAACAATTTAATGCAATTTAAAATGCACTTTTACCCATAATAACACATATTTTTTTCAATTAAATCAATCTAGGTATTAAATATCTTCTATATGTATCTTTAAATTTGTTTTTAAGTCACATATTTACCAGTTAAAGTAAACAATTTGAGACTAACTCATTTCCTTAACATCTCTCTTGACATTGGTTAAAGTCTAAGCTAAGTCACTTACAGTGCAAGCCTTAGCTAGCGTACTAAAAGTGGTGCGCGTACAGAATAACTTAACGAAAACTGTAATTCAACTGCCATGACAAGCAAGGTTTTGGACTTAACTAAAACTCTTATATTAGAAACTAGCGAAAAATGCAATTAAAATATTTCTATTAAAAACATTTTTATCACTATAAAATATATAATAAATTTTGTTTTAAAAATCTTTAATCTATTCTATATTCCAGTAACTTTGTATTTTTCAATATAATGTACTAAATTGTCTTTGAAACAAAAACTCAACGAATCTTCATTTAAAGTTTCACTTCATGGTTGATTTCTTGACTAACTCAGGCATTTTAAAATCTTTCTTTTTAAGTTCCGCTTAAAAACTTACTAACTATAATTTCACAAAAAAAAAAGCTCTTTAAAAGTTAAACTAAAACCGGTTTCTGGAAGATCCCCTTTCTCGTTTCTCGTTCTACACACTTATTTTCACCTCTTTCTCCCGCTTGTTTTTGTTTTTGTTATTTTTGTTTTTAGTTCATGCGCGCCTCTCAAAGAAGTTGGTTGTTTATAAAGCTTACTAAGCGAAGTATTACTTTGTTTTGTGACTTTTTTTTTCGGTTAAAAACAAACAAAAGTGTTGATAAACTTAAACTTAACAGAACTTAAAGGGTTTTCTAGTTTAACATCAAAGAGACTGTTTTGAAAAGGGAAAAATCTTCAGAAAAGGCAGCTTTTTGGGGTAAGTTTTTGACAAAATCAGTTAAGAAATATCAATGTTAGATCTTTTTTATATCATGATTATATATCCCTGAAAGATATCTTTTGTTAAGAACGCTTTCTGATTGTTTTTATCACAACACGTGAGAAAGCTTTTCTTTCAGTGAGTGAGTCTGTGAGTGTGGGTCACCCTTGAGAGATGAAAGTGCAGCTGGGGGGCAGTGGGCCAGATGAAAGGTCAACAAAAGTAAAGAAAACTGAGGGGAGTAACAGGTGAAAACAGGTTTTGAACTTGGGTTTTATATAGGAAATCCTTAAAAACTCAAAATAAAGCTATATTGCACTTAATTTCTGCTCGAATTTTCTATTTTTTAATGATTCTCCTCTTTAGCTCTAACCCCATTTAATAGCCTCTTGGCTTAAAAGTTAATCACAAACTTTATGACAAGGATTATTCGTAAAACTTCCCATTGGCAAAGCCATTTAATCACAGACAGAACCCGCCATCTAATTAGCTAAGCTCAGTGAGAATCGCATAGAAAGGCGGCATTAGCAGCAGCAGCAGCAGCTTAGTTTTGGCCTGAATTTTGTTAGCAACTGTTAGCGGAACCGAAAGGTAGAAACAATCTAAGTCTTAGGCCGGGCTAACGGAAGAGACTTGGTTGGTTAAGAGTCGTCTCATCATCATCTCAAGCTGCACATTAGGTTTGGTCTCGGCTCGGCTCGGCTCACCTCAGCGCCGCTGTTTGGCAGTGGAAGAAGGCACCTCGGATATGTGCTGGGGGGGTAATTAAAGAGACAACCATCTGCAGAATGCTGCCGGGAGATCTTTTATTTATGACTTGACCATTCACCCAGGCTATGGCTTAGCATCATCAGCCCGGGTCTTTAGATTTCAGCTGCTGTTGCAGTGTCCAGGCCTGGCCTGACTTGGCCAAAAGTGTTTTGCAGTGGCTGCTACGCGGCTGCTGCTGCTGCTGCTGCCGCCTCTCTTACTGATGGCCAACAAATTCATAAACAACGCTGAAATCAAGTTACGAGCGGGGGGGGCGGGAGTTGCAAGGGGGCAGTTGATGTAGGCACAATCAAGATGTTGGCTAGGAAAATTCTTGGACGCGCCGGGGCCTCCGCAAAAAACTTACCCGCCGTCCCACCTACTTCGCCTTGCTTTTTAGGCTTTGCTGGTAGCAAAAAAAAAGAAGGTATTTCTGGCAAGGCAAGTTGTTTCTTAAATTTAAATGGGAAATTTTATAATTTTTATATACAAAAACTTAATTTTTAAGGCTTAAATGGATTTACTTAACCAACTTTAAGAACCTTTCCAGACTTCTTAGGGTACCTTAACATTCGTTTCTGCTAGCCATTTCTTGTTTAGTTTTCGTTTTCGTTATTTATTTTTATCTGCATTTTTCTTTTGGCCGAGACGAAACGGGTTTTCCAACATTTGAAGTTTTTCTTCAAACCCTCCACCCTCTGCCTCTGCCCTCCCCTCTGCTCTTTCCCTCATATCATCATCATCATCTGGCTGCTGTCTTTGCGCTTCGCTGAAGTCGTCTGAAACTTAATGCCACACTGCAAAATTGCAGTCACTGATACATCCATATGCATTTCCATTATAATTTTCATTATTTTCCACAGCACAGCACAGAGCAAGTCGGGCTGTAGTAGAAATGTCAAGTAAATCATTCGGTCAACTGATTTTTAACCAAACGTGCAACACTCTCTGTTGCAGGTTCAATAAGCCAAATCTTTTGCAGATGCAAATCACTAATGGTTAATGGTGGATCTAAGTGGCATGCTGCCACACGACCAAAAATTACTTTATATCGAATTATCCAATCAAGACCCCTTTTTGACTTTGATAAACGAGTTTACGGGCCCTTGACTTTCAAAAGTGAGATTTATGATCGAAAAGTGGTCCACATAATCGACTTACCAAAGGCTGAAAAGATTTTCTCTTGGAGATTTTCCCTTGAAGATTTTCCTTGATCTTTGATTGCAGATTTCTTAAGCAAAGTGATAAGGGAAATCGAAATGATTTTCTTTAATGGGAAGTTCAAGGAGAAACTGTTTATAGGAAATTCTATGATTAATTCTTAAGTTACTCTTTTTATTCAAATATTTGTCTTTAAGTCACCTTTTTAGATGATTTTTTAATAGCTTTTAATTTTCCATGTTCTGAACCTCGATTTTTGGGACAATTTTGGCCATTGTGAGATTTTTCCCTACTTTTTGCTTATTAAAACATTTTATTGATGGTGTTTTTAAGCAAATATTAAAAAATATTTAATGATTTATCATCAAAAATTAGTTTTTATAATCGACTTACCAAAGGCTGAAAAGATTTTCTCTTGGAGATTTTCTCTTGGAGAATTTTCTTGATCTCTGATTGCAGATTTCCTAAAATCGAAGAGTTAAATGTTTTTGTTAATAGGGTGTTCTAGGGCTTCTTAATTTTAGAAAATTCTAATCTTAACTCTTAAGTTTTTAATTGTTTTTGCTTTTTTTATAAAAATATTTGCCTTTTAGTCACCTTTGTTAAATGATTTTTGAATAGCTTTTAGTTTTCCAAGTTCTGAACCTTATTTTTAGCACAATTGTGGAAAAACTAAGTTTTTTTTTCTCAATATTTTGATTATTAAATCACTTTTTTTTATATTTTTAAGCAAATATTCTTTAAAATTTTTCATAATTACAGTAAAACCTAAAACTATTTCTATTTTAAAATCATAAAAATATGAAATCTTTAAAATTCACAAAATTTTTCTTTTAATTAAGATTTTCTTTGATTATTTATTTATGAATTAATTTTCAAGTATTTCTTATTAACCCACACTCTTCAAATTTGTGCCTTTTTCTACCAATACTTGCTTGGCTGCTGCCTTTGTGGCTGCAACTGCTGGTGGCACAGCTGTCTCGTGTTGCTGCTGGCCACGCGTTTCACACGCGCCTTAATTAAATCAACAGTCAGTCAGTCTGTCGTCTTCCTCACCCTTTGCCACATTTTTCTTTTATTTTCTTTTCATAATTTTCATAAATTTTTGCCTTTATTTTTGTTAGGAAACTGCCTTGTGCGTGAGCTTCAGTTTTTTTAAAGATATTTTTCGTATGCTGTTTCCCTGATCTTCTTCGAGATTCTTTTCACTTTTTTTTTCTCTCTCTCGCTTTGAGAGTGTGAAGTGGCAACAATGGCACCTGCAGCGGCAACATCATCAGCCAGCCAAGCAGGTGCCAGTGACAGAGCGACGACAGTGACAGCTTCCCAGAAGGCGGCACAGAAGGGGGTCAAAAACTGAAGGAGAGAGAAGGTACCGACAAAAGGCAAATGCATTGTTCGATTTAACTTTCACTGATTGCCCGATGACAATGCCATGCTTCTGCTCGTGGGTTGTAGCTATATCTGTATATGTATATATCTCTATATATATAGTAAATATATATACATACATGGGCCTTGGCATACAAATGATTAGCAAGTACTGCGAAATTCCATTTACTTTCTATATGGAAATCTATTTGCTCTGAGAAAAGATACAAAAAAAAAAAAAACCTAAAAATTAAAATAAATCTTGAAAGCTTAGAAAGTTAACACCCAGTGGCAGTGGGTGTGGGCGAGATGGTTAGATGTTAAGATAGAGAAAGAGAGAGAGGAGGAGATGGGAGATGATTCTTCGGAGGCGACAACTAATTTCTGAAATTATTTTTTATGGCGTGCGGAAGTTTTTTTTGGCGGCCTCAATTTGAGGCTCCCTTTTAGAAGGTTGTTGTTGTTGTTGTTGTTGTTGTTGTTGTTGTTGTTGTTGTTGTTGTTGTTGTTGTTGTTGTTGTTGTTGTTGTTGTTGTTGTTGTTGTTGTTGTTGTTGTTGTTGTTGTTATTGTTGTTGTTGTTGCTTTTGCTGTCTGCTAATTAAATGATTGTTTTTTTTTTCAGTCTTTTAGCTTTTTTCCCATTTTGGAATTCTAATTTTTGATGGGTCAAAATGAGAAGCGCTAATCAGCGGGGCTGGGTCTTTGAAAGTCTTGATGGATTCATCAAATTTATAGGTTTATATAGGTATATATATAGGTATATATATGTATATCAGTATATATATATATTTTCTATACCCTTTTAACATGCAAAGTGGAAGAGAAAATTGGCCATTCTTCGAATTGCTGAGAGTTGGCTGGCTGGTTTTAGATTGATTGCTGCTTTGGTTTAATATCAGGTTTAAAAAAGGTTTAAGTCTAGATGGTGAGGTTTTATGGGTTAAGTTAAAAGATTGTTTAAAATGAATTTTCAAGGAGTTTTAACTGATATTTTACCTAGCAGATTCTAAGAAATATAACCTCAGGGTTAGATTCTTTTCTAAACAGTTTCTTAGCTCCAAAAAATATCTAAAAATTTTCTTTCAAACTCAAACTTTTGCCCCACAAAATCTTTCAATCTTTTAAAGACTTTGTGCAGCAATTTCTTTCTTCAACTTCTTGTTTTTGAAATATTTCCAAGCCTTGTAACAAACACTCGCTGTTGCACATTTGGCCTGCCTGCCCGCCTGCAGCTAGCCAGCCACCAACTCCTATGCAAATTCATCATAAAAAACGATCAGCACCTGTTTTGGCCAACAGGTGTACAACATTATCAAACACAAATCACAGGTTTTTGCAACAAAACAACATTGTAGTAGACACCAGACAGATTCAGCATTTAGCACGTTTTAGTACAAGTTTAGCTACAACTCAGCAAGTTAGCAATTTGATGGACTGGCCATAGGAGTTAGATAACCAAAAAAACAAACAAAAAACAAAATTGATTAATTAAATATGAGTTGGACATAAATCAGCAGCTATGTTAAGAAGTTTTTGGTGTGCTTAATAAGCCAAGAAGATAGAAATCTACAAAGATAGATGGTTATTATGAACAGAAATTAAGTTTTAAGATTGAATTTAAGAAAGTTTTTAGTTTATTTAAAGTTTAAAGTTAAGTTAAGTTGAAAAAATTACAATTTTAATATGAAAAACCTCATCAAGAAGCTTTGTTTTTGTTTCTCTTTAAACCCAAAAAAGCAACTCTTTTGTTTTTTCTAATGGTTGGAAAACCCTTCAAGCTTGGCCTCCTCCTACCCCTCATCTCAACTTGACTTTTCTGCTGGGCCCTTCTTGGCAGCTCTTGATTTCAGTTTCTTTTACGGCTTTGGCTTTCATAACAAATCTAATTTATTGAAGGTGAACGGAAATGTGCGCTAATTTTTCAATGATTAATGATGCTAGCTAGCTGCATGGGCCGAAATGTGATTTACTTTAATTAATTAAATACCAGCAAATGCCGGGCAAATGCCGAACAGCATTGAGAGTGAGTTGTGGCGGCAACTTCAAGTTTCTTGACCTTGTGGATTTCTACAGAGGCAAGCAATAGCAGCAGCAGCAACATGCAGCAAGCAGCAAGCAGCAGCCGCAGCAGCAACAGCAGCAACATCTGCAAACATCAACAACCCATTCATAACTCACGACTTTCGCGACAATTTTCACCTATAACTCATCCAAAATGATAACGAAGAAAACCCGCCGAAAAGCCTAGCAAACAGGCAACCCGTTTTGCACATTACCCTCTAGGGGGTGTTTACTGTATAAGCAGAGGCAGAGGCATTGACAGGGGTCTTTTGGTAAAATGGATTGCAAAGTGAAATTAGTTGGGAAGATAAACTTGAGAGTTAAACTTACTTTTTAAACTGATGATAAACTGATATATATTCTGAAAAGAATATGGAATCAGATATATCATATAAGATATATATATATATATTAATCAGACAAACCAACGTGGCTGACGTTGAACTGCCTGCCTGCCTCCTCCCCCTTTCGCTCTTTTCACTTTTATTTACGTTTCGCGCCGACAATCGATTGTTAATTTGCATTTAATTTATTTTTGAGCCTCAAACTGACGAAGAAAAACAAAGAAAAACCAAGGAAAAACAACAAAGAAAAACCAAAAAGTATTGGCCATAAAAAAAAGGCTGGGAGGCTCAGAGGCTCAGAGACTGCGAGGACAGGTCCCAGGCTCAGGTGCCCCCCATAAATTGTCCATTGCTACCGTTGCCGCTGGGCAGGCGGCAGGCAAGTCTCGCTTGGATATTGCTTCCCCAACTTCCCTGCCTCTCTCTCTGTTTCTGCTTTTTACTCTACACTTGAAAAAATTCCATAAAACTTAGGTCTCATTATAAAAAATTCCCAATTTTCTTAGATTTTCCCCTTTTATAGGTTTCTTAAGAAGTTTTTCTTTTGGAAAACCTTTAAAAATCGAATATTTCTTAGTCCTTGACTTTTCTCTAAGTGCCTTCAAGTCACCGGCTTATAGCTTCGAACCGCACCAAATCGATTTGAGCTGCGATTTTTGAGGCATTTCTCGCTATTTTTGCCCAGCCAGACAGAGGCTCTCTCGTTAGGAGAAAGGCGATGCTGATCAGTTGGCCAAAACCAGTAACAACTACATAGCCAAGTCGATACAAAAACAACAACAATAACAACAACAACAACAACAACAACCACACATGAACAATTCACTTTCTAATGATGCCCCGCGCTCAAAAACCCAAAAAAGCCAAAAAATATAAAAAATAAAAACAAAACCGAAAATGAATAAAATATGGCCAAGCCACAAAAATCTGTTTTTCATTTGCAATAACTTTTGGGCTTGAAGCCGCCGCTGTTGGCCAAAAAAAAGAGAAAAAAATACAGTTAAAACGAGTTACTAAAAAAAATCTGCGTCCTGTCGGTAAAATCGGTAAATTTATTAACCAATTTGGGATTCAGAAATTGAATATTACGAGCAATTGTGCAATTAATTATATATATTTATGCGATATATAAAAATAAATAACAATTTCTTTGGTTAAATATCAAAGCAAAACGGAAGGAAAAGGAAGGAAAAAGGAAAAACGCTGCCTGGAAATGAGCAATATGAAAGCGATGAAGTGGGAAGTTGGTAATAAGTCTTGCTGGCTGGCTGGCTGGCTGGCTGGCTGGCTAGCTTAATTTATGCAACTAAAAAATAATTAAATATTTAAAATATATTAGGTTGTCAAAAAAGTCATGCGGTATTTTCGCTAGTTGGCGCTGAAAGGGCATAGTTCTTGTTTTGTTCGTCGCATCAGGTCATACTATACCTTTTTGGAAAGCTCATTTCACGCGCTAACAGGTGTTGTCTTTTCTTTTGAGTCGTTCATGAGTTTTAGCGTCGCAATCATGGAGCAAAATAAAGAGAATGACCCGATACAGTTTCCATTTCCACCGCACAACGATGGTATCAACGTTTTCGTTCTAGTGTAGAGGTGGTCGAAGATACGCCACGCTCCGAGTTTTTAGCCAAAAGGGAAGCGAGCTTCTATGAGAGGGGCATTATGAAGTTGGAATGTCGTTGGGAA